AACACAATTCTTTTTTTTTTTTTATTATTCTTTTTTTTTCTTGTGCATTTGATTATATTACAGAGAGGCCTGTAGCGCCACAACAGCGTTTACAGGCTTTTCAATAGCATACTTAGTCATGGCACATATTTACCGCAATTTTTTTTTAAAAACAGGCTGGTAACACATTAAAAAGATATTGAGTACATTCTAGCTTTGCTTGTCTATTGTGTTGAGTCACGGTGGAGTCGTCCAGCTTACTACTATCTGGTACATGTGCTTTCAATGAACAGAAAAATAAGGTATATGCTAGCCAGGCTATTCAAGAAACTTACTTCTGCATGTCAATCTATGTTTTTACAAAAAGTTAAAGGTCAACATTAGTAGTACTTGTTAAGCAGATTGTTAGCTTAACAGTGAACATGAACAGCTTACCGTAAATTAATTCAGCGCTTAGTGTCTGTTAGCTAGAGGTGCTAGACTTTTGTGTTAGAAGGCAAGAGTCAATGTGATATGCATAAGTGGAAGACATTTGGAGAGTTCTCACATTAGGTGCCCATGCACGAACTGTGAGCGGTATACCAGGTCAGTCTCTGGGGGGTCAGCCGACCCACATCTGCGGGTGGCGGGTGCTTGTCTAAAAGTGTTGCTGGTTGCACTCCTTAGCTTCTTATTTGCACCCAATTCGTCTGCGTGTGTATCTCAGCGCAGTCTGGATGAGGCGCCCACTCTGCCCTGGGGCTTACTTGGAGCCTTGTCTGCCGTGTCACGGATCTGCCGCCGTCCTGGGGTTAAATCCATAATCTGTGTGGAGCTGTGGAGGGCTGTTTTCCCGGGCTTGTGCATGCGTCTCTTTTTCCTTCGCTGGTGTGAGTGGGGTGTAGGGGCTATGCCCCTTGCGGCTGTTTTCCCAGGCGGGAAAGCAGGGTTAAGGTTATAAATGCCTGGGTGGGGCCTCTTCGGGTGTTCCCCGGCCGTACCAATTGTAGGGACAGGGGCTTTGGTTAGTTGTCTGGCTTTGGGTGGTCTGACCCTGGTACTGACCGTTGGCAGTGCTGGTGGTTGTTGATTTTTCTCCAGGCGTTCCCAGAAATGCTTGCAGAGGTCATCAAATTCTTTTCTGGAAAGCTTCTGCCCAGTCACAGAATGTCGGTCGCTCCTCGTGTGTAGTGGGGCTGTCAGCCATCTTTGTCAGGCCTCGTGTCTCCTAGTGTTTGGGTGCGCGCCCTGGAGTCGTTAGGGGGTGAGTATTTTCTCTGCTTTGGTAGATCGGGATGAGCCCCACCGGTCCGGGAAACGAGTGCCCTGTCACAGCGGCTCGGGTTGTCGCGGCATCGGGAGAGCGGCCGTCTCTCCCACGCCTGGTAAGTTTGTAGGCCCCATATGTCCGTCGGGTGAGTGTGGCTTGAGGTGGCACTTAAGCGGTATCATTGTGCTCAGGGCAAGGTCAGCTCTCTCGTGGGCTCCTTTTTCGCCGTGATTTATCGCCTTGTGGGCTTAGTAATCTTGTTTATTCACCGCGTGTGGTAGGAGCTGTTAGAGGTTGCTTCTTCCCAGCTCTGCTGTCAGGCCCTGCCCCAAAACACAATTATTTTTATGATGATTTGTATGCAACTAGTTCAGCTAAAGAAAACTGCTCATTTACTTCTCCTGAGTTTTGAGACATGTCATATTTCTAAGATTTATAGGGTTATTCATTCAGAAGTGAAATGTCAAATTTACGGCCAAAGTAGTCAAATTGGAAGTGTAGCTGACATAGAGAATTTTTCCTGTTCAGCAGTTCTTACATTGAAATGAAATTCACTTTGAATTCTCACTTTAGTGAATAATCCTGTTAGTTTTTCGGCTTTTAGTAGGTGGGCAGTTTTACATTGTCATTGTTATTACAAAGCTGTCTTTATCTCTTCCACTCGCTCTCTCTTTTTTAATTTTTTTTTTTTGCAACTTCGTATGCTTGTCTTACAATATAAATATGTCTCTTTTGGTATGCACAGGTATACTTTTTTTATTTTTTATAATTCTCTTTTTATTGAAGTATTCATGTAGCGTATTCATCAGCATTACATTAAAATACAGTAGCTTTTTTTTGTATAAATTAAATGTAGGTGAATTGTAGTAAAGCAGGTTACATCTGTAGGAACCAAATCCCATAGTAGCGCATGTGTAAAAGAGGAATGATTTAGGTCGGCCTACCAAGATACAGGTACCTAGGAACATTGATCAGTTTTTCATTGAATACTGTATTCGTTCCTTACCTTGGGATGCCACTCAATAGATAGTCGAGTGTTATACTTGTTAGACTTTCATGGGTACAGCCCCTAAATAAAGTCTAATGGGTGGCTACACCTGGGATCTTGTAGTTTTGTGAACCTGCGTGGGGTAACACCTGAACATCTAAGGTAACAGGGAGGTGTAAATATATATATATATATATATATATATATATATATATATTATTGTTGTGTAAGTTGCCCACTTACTTTTTGAAGGCTCCCACACTTGGCCATGTCCCTGGTGCTGGTGATTTAATTCCTCAAATCCACTTGTAATAGATGTTGAATCACATACCCCGCACTCTGGAAACTGCACAAAATAATAGACAAAGTGTTCCTAGCTGTGCAAGTTTAATAGGGACAGTACAGGCACAACATGAATCCACCAAAATTAAATACAAATATAAAAATATGAAAGTTAAAGGAACACTGTAGTCACCAACACTTCCTGTAAAGAGCCATCTAATGTTTATCCTTCCTTTATTGCAAGTTCTGTTTAATTTATATTTTCTTATCCCCTGCTATGTTAATAGCTTGCTAGGACCTGCAAGAGCCTCCTGTATGTGATTAAAGTTAAATTTACAGAGCAAGAGATAAACATTTTAAGGTAAATGTCATCTGATTGAAAGTGAAACAAGTTTTTTTTTTTCATGCAGGCTGTGTCAGTCAGAACCAGGGAAGGTGTGGCAATGTCTTCATAAAGAGAAACAAAGTGATTTAACTCCTAAATGGTAGTGGATTGAGCAGTGAAACCTGAGAGGCATGATCTACACACTAAAACTGCTTAATTAAGAAAAAGTTGTTTAGATGACTATAGTGTTCCTTTAAAATTATATTTGCATGGGATAGAGGGGTAGGGGGAAAAGGACACTAAGATCCTACAGAGACCCTGAACGTGATTCACGTCGCCTACATAGACATCCTAATGGGGCTTATTGAGGTCATTAAGCCATGGGCCTCAAATTTTGTGGATATTATCAGAGGCTTTATGAACTACTACCGTGTACTGTCTATCACCACTGCTTCTTTCACCTTATGGATCACTGTGTCCAATGTGGGAGTGTTTGGTATCCTCCTTAAAGGCACCATTTAGACACCCAGTCCACTTCATGTCATTGAAGTTGTCTGGGTGCAATGTCCCTGTCCCCCTTAGTCCTGCAATATAAAACTTTGCAGTTTTTGAGAAACATATATCAAGGAAATACCCGCACTTTAATGTACAATGCAAATCAAATTTTATTACATAATAAAAATCTAAAATATATTAAAAATTAATCTATATACACCCATGAAGGAATAATATTCCAACAGTTGATATATGATCAAATTGTACTATACGTAACAGTTTTCTTATATAGTTGATATGTATATAGTCCATAAATATAAAAGTTTTTTGTAAGGGTATTGTCGTCGAAGAGTGGGCAAAGTCATGAGGAAAAGGATTTGGGAATTATTATAGACAACAAGCTAGGCAGCAATATACAATATTAGTCGGCAGTTGCTAAAGCGAGTAAGGTATTATCATGTATAAATAGCTACAATTTATTCGTGAGATGAATAATATAATTACCGGTATGCCTCTTTATAAATCTCTGGTAAAACCACACCTTGAATATGCTGTGCAATTTTGGGCAACTGTTCTAAAGAAGGATATTATGGAACTACAAAAAGTGGCGGGCCACAAGATTAATAAAAGGAATGGAGCATTTTAGTTATGAAGAAAGATTACCAAATTTAAAACCTTTTAGTTTGGAAAAATGGCACCTCAGAGGGGATATGATAGCATTATGCAAATATGTTTGGGGCCAGTACAGACCATTGTCTGGACATCTTTTCATAAACAGGACTATACATAGGACACAAGGTCATGTATTGGAAGAAAGGGTTTTTAACAGTAAGAACAATAAAGATATGGAATTCTCTGCCTGAAGAGGTGGTTTTATCAGAGTCAACGGATGTTTAAATTCTTTATTTTGTAGTGCTTAACGAGGTAACATACTTGCGCGAGGTACCCCGACGGCAATCCTCTTGCATTGTCAAAGAATACATAACAGTGGGGTTATCAATAATACATGCACAATTTTTATATTTATAAATGAACAACTGCTTAGTAGGAACATTCAGTTAAATTACGTTGAGTATGCTTGGCATGGTTAGGTTATCAAGCTTGGTTAACATTTTTTAAGAGTAACAATAGTAAGATTGGGGTAGACTTGCTAGGCTGCATACAAGACTAGTACAGTTAACTATGGTAGCAAGTTTGTTTAGTTATTGCAGGAAGGATTTCTTTAAGTTAGGTCATTGCCCTATGGCCCTGAGTTAAACTCCCCTTTCCCTGTATCAGGTTACAACCTGTTGCTGCAAGTAGATTTGTGGGTCTATGCCCCCCATTAATTTTCAGTGGGCTGCTGATAGCAGGAACTGGCTCAGTTGCATTTAAACAAAATTGTGTTGCCTACAGGGGGTTTACCGCTTGGGACAGCTTATGCAATTTTAAATAATGCAGGCTGGGGTGCGTTATCTATGGGTCGTCACAAGGTGAATCATATATCATGTACAGGCTTATGCATATCAAATTAAACCAGGCGAGCATAAAACCACGCAGAAATATTAATATTAATATTAACTGGACACCTGCTGAGGGTGATCATCGGAGCCTTGGGTGTCTGCCAGTGATTGCAATGTCCTGCATAGTGTAGGTTGTAGGTACAGGACCCCAACACCTCACGCCACTCGGGTTAGCCCCGTTTAGCCGATGCACACCGGGTATATAAAGTTGTCCAGTATGGTGGTGGCTTGCCAAGGGCTGGTATCGTCGCTTGGTGAGGAGATGTCCAGCTGTAAGTGGCACAAATGTTGGCCCTGCAGTGGTTTAGTCGTGCGGCATATGACTGGCTTTCGTGTGTTGGTACACGGCACTCCTTGGCAGCTTTGTGCAAGATGTCCGTCCGCAGCTCGCCTCCTCCTCTGATAGCATTGCCTCCAGAGTTTTCGTCGCTTTGCTGCAGTCAGGTGAGTGCGGGATCTCTTTCTTTCCTCAGGGAGCCCCCTAGGTCTCTTCTTAGTGCTCACACGTGGTTTCGTGTTTGGCTCCTGTGTGGCTTTAATTTGCCCTGTATTGCTGCTCAGCATGGCCCATAATCTGCCTATTATGGCCTCCAGGGTAACGGTCCGTCCGGTGCTTGGTTCAGCTGGTTCAAGCCGCGGCAGTTTCAGACCACGTGTTATTAAGCCGGGGATATATGCCATCTTTGGTGTCTCCATCCCTCTCTGCTTGGGAGCTTTATGAGGCCCCCAGATGCATCCGAGACCGTGGCAGTTCAGGTCTTCGGGGTCTTCACCGGGTGGGGGGAGGGATTTTGGAGTGCTCCTTCGTCCACCAGAGAACCGGGAGAGCGGCCGTCTCTCCTCGGCTCCCACCCGTGTAGGCCATTAAACTCGATTAGGTCAGTCCAGCACCGGAAAACCGGGGTATCCCCTGGTGCAGTGCAGTCTCCCCAGTACGAATCTTGCGTTAAGCTGTCGGTACGATTGGGTGGTCGGGCAATAAACCCTGAATCTGGGCTTCAGACTCAGGAGCTCTCGGCATGTGCGTCTAGTCTGCTTAGGAGTTAGGCTCCGCCCCCGTCAACAGATGTTTAAGCAGCAATTTGATACATTTGATAAATACTTGCAAAAACATAATAGTCAGGGATATAATTTTTAATTAGTGCGGTAACATCTTCTTGATCCAAGGAGATATCTGACTGTCATTCTAGGGTAAAGAAGAAGAAGAATTAGAAGCTCTTTTTGTTTTTTTTTTGCCTTGTTTTGGGTCAACAGCTAAAACAGATGTTAGAAAGACTGAACTTGATGGATGTATGTCTCTTTTCAGCTATGTAACTACTTAACTGTACCTGGAGGGAAGAGTCTATTATGAAGAAGTCAAGTAATGGGTGATTGTTCATTAGTGAGTGGGAGTTACATTGTTATCTTATCCCATACCCTGATGGTGGTGGTCAGGGCAAAAGTTAATGGGGGGGGGGGAATGAATGGACATGCAAGTCTTGATAGCCGAAGATATAAAGATGGAAAGTACCTACCAAAGAGATTGTGTTTCATTTCCACCAAACACGTCACCCCCACTGGTGCGTGTATGTTTTGAATCTGTGTGACCGCTCTGTAGCATGGTAATAGTGGAAGAAATGAGGCAGACCCAGACCCAGATGTTGGATAGATTGTTTGACTCTTATCCTTTACTTTGACCAGATAATATTATCTAACTTTGTTTTTAAAGTTTTAAAGTCTGGAACCAGATTGGAATTGGCAGTGTCTGGAATAGGTACAGGCAGCATGGGAGTAGATTAGTGTTCACAGATGCCAACCTTCACATCCATGAGATGGAGAGGACCTGCCATGTCTGGAGGTCTTGTGAGGCTTATGGGTATAGTTGAGGAAATCGGTGTGAGAGAGATCTGCGAGGGGCACCTATATATATATATTAAGAATAAAATATCAAGAAATAAATAATCAGATCCTTGAAACTGCACCCATTAAGGTAATTTTTGTAATGTTACTCTCTTCCCTATTGCAATAAATGAGGTGTTCCCATTTACATTTTTTCATATGTTTGTGCGAATCACTCTTTTGAAGTGATTTGTTGTTGGAGGAAATTGGGACCTCAGTTTTTCAGTTTATTGTCACATAAACTTATGTGACCATAAATTACCCCTCTTTTAATACAACCTATGCGCCTGGTCTTTTTTTGTATGCTATAGTAGTTGAGGTAAGGAGTAAAAAAATCCACAGGGCCACGGGAATATTAAAACAAACTAGCAGAGTGGAGCGAGAGAGAGATAAGAACGTCAGGTGGGCACACAAAATACAACACTAGAGCCCGCAATATGCTTTTTGCAGCAGCCCTGAGATCTGTGCCATTGGTGATGCAGGTCTTTCCTGTTCTGTAGTCATGCCTTTGTTGGTCAACTTGCCGAGTGATCCTGTGGTATAACATGTCACTGCATTTCTTTTTTCCCTTTTGTATCTGATAGTATAGTGCCTGAAGTTACGGTTAAATGATGAATGATCAGGGATTAAATGGAATAGAACCCATACAATAGCCTCCAATATAGCTGAGGACCCATCGTATTATTATTATTTTTGTTGTTATTTTATTTCTTAAGATTTTTCTGGTAAGTCTCCCTGGAAGCAAGCCAGTGTTGCCAACAGGCTTTTTTAAATTGCAGAATTCTTCAGGTTGGGTTATCAGAAGCATCTCCGCTTGAACAACTAATCTGACTTAAGCATCGTTTTTTTAAAATTTTTGCATAAGCTTTTCAAATGATTTCATATTTTGGACAAACTTTTAAATTGATTTAATATATATATATTTGATATTTTAATATTTAAAAAATAAAGGTTAATTTAAAAATATGAAATATTAAACAAAGGCCTGATTTTTAGTAAAGCTGATTGTGGCAGACTGCCTGGCATCCCGACGGCGTACCTCCTCCAATCACGCTTCCTAGTGCTTACAGAGTACCATAATCACTGCACCGGACACCATAACCACTGTAGCCCCCTTGGCTGCCGCAGCTCGGCTGGGGTCTCACTGTCCCTTCTCACCCTGGACCAACCACCTGGATCCAGCTCCCAGTGGGAAGACCTCTCCTCCAAGATATCCAAAAATCACCCAGATCGGTTCAGGGGTTCGGAATTTCTATGGAAGTGATAATTTGACTTACCGTGCACATGGTCCTATGCCCAAAACAGTTCCATGAATTCAGTGCTAACGGTCAGTCAAGTTCGGTAGATTAAAAACGAACAAACTACCGAACGTCGTCAATAGTCATACCATGGAGCTTGTTCCCCTCATCCAGACAAACGATTCCACCGAACAGTGCCCTTCTAGGTGATGTGGAATCCAAACGCAGGCAATGATTGTAGTCCAGTGGTGTTCAGGAGTTTCCGTGTCCGATTTGAGTTCCATGAACTTGACGACGGGAACAAGATGGCCGCAGCCTCGTAGTCGTTCATATGAACTGCGGCCACCCTAACAAACAATTAGAACCGTTAAGAGGTGATGATAGGGCTGAACAAGCTCCCGGGTGGTCCATGGTTCGTGCGCCTGTTCGGTTCCCGAACAACATGGAAGAATGGCACGAACCAAGTCTTTTCATATGGCTTTTACATAGCCCATAGTCCTGGGGCAAGAGGCTGGCCCCAGTGTGGCGAGGTTACTTTCGCCACACAGATTTTTAGTAAAAAGCCAATATGCTATACGTATAGCAATTTGTCTGTTTTGTCCAAGCCATACCCAACTGTAACCGAGCAGGGAACATTGGTTAGAGTAACTTTGCAAGAAAAATTATGCAAGTCATTTTCAAAGTCACTGAAACACAATCTTTTTTTTTTTAAATAGATCTACAATTGTCTGGTATAAAACTGTGTTCTAGAACAGGGGTTCCCAACCCGGGGTACATGTACCCCCAGTGGTACAATGCAGTACCTCCAGAGGTGCGCAAAAAGAAATTGGTAATGTGCCGCAACACCACACAGACTGGGAACCACTGGTCCGTCATGTTGACCTCAGGGCCACCCAGCGGACATCTGCCATGAGGGGCCCAGTTGTGCTCTGTGACCGGACTCCTTCTAAACTGCAGGGAGAGCTAAGAAGAATATGACAGCCTGTCACTTCCTTCCAGCTCACTCAGACTCAGAACGGGCCATGGGGCAGCCACCCTCCAGCACCTAAAAAGGTAGGAAACTGGAGGGTGGCTAAAATTGTGACCTTCATGTGCGTGCTTTGGGTGGCTGCATGTATGTAGTCTTTGTATCTGTATGTGTGTATGTCTGTATCTGTGTGTACATGTATGTGTGCTAGTGTTTGTATCAGTGTGTGTTTATCTGCATGTGTGACAATGTTTGTATGTGTATTTGTACATTTGAATGTGTGGCAGTGTGTGTATCAGTGTGTCTGTATCTGTATGTGTGTAATTGTTTCTATTTGTTTATCTGCATGTGTGGCAGTGTGTGTATCAATGTATCTGTGCAACTGTATGTGTGGCAGTGTTTGCATCTGTGTATTTGCATGTGTGTTAGTGTCTGTATCAGTGTGTGTGTGTGTGTGTGTGTGTGTATCAGCATATGTGTGGCAGTGTTTTGTATGTGCGTGCCTGTACATCTGTATGTGTCAGTGTGTGTCTGTATCTGTATGTATCAATGGTTGATACACATGGTAACACACATGCAGATGCACAGACACACATACGGTTGCATAGACATACTGATACACATGCATATGTGTCAGTGTTTGTATCTGTGTGCCTGAACATCTGCATGTGTGTCAGTGCATGTAACTGTATGTGTGTCAGTATTTGTATTTGTGTATCTGTGCATCTGTATGTATCTGCATGATTGTCAGTGTGCGTGTGTGTATGTGTGTAATTATATGTATGTGCAAAATATATATTACACATACATATACTTAATTGGGGGCAGAAGAGAAGCAGATGGAGCCTGGGACAAAGGAAGAGCAGGGAGATCCAGAGGCAGAGAAAAAGGGGAGATTGGGCAGAGAGAAACATATAAATTTGAAATAACAGCAACTATAATAATTACAAACATTTTGCTAATATGAGGGGTACAATATATAGAAATAGGCTGCCAAGGGGTACTCGGTAAACCACGGTTCTAGAACCTTTTGTTGTAAGGCATACTTCCTATATGTTGTCTCAATTTGATTCAGTGTTTCAAACTTTATAATCACTAAAACACCAGTGCCACATACTTCTACTTATAGGATAGAAAAATAGTAGATTGTATTTTCCTATGGTTCGTGCTTGAGTTGGGATGGGTGGGAAGGGCATGGGAACCGTGATGGTTTATAGTCTAGAAAACCATGACAAATCTGCCTTGATAATCTTGATTTCATATACTGTTATAGAAAAGGCTGTTGCTGTGGTTAATTTAACTTGTCACATGCAATATAAAATATATATTTGTGTAAAGGACATGATATATCGATCAGCAAATATATTATTATAGTGGGAATGCAATGGAGCGCTGTCTGGAAAAGGTCTTAATCTAGTGATATAAACCCAGCCTAGTCCGTGCATCTCAGCTCTGTGCGTAGTTTTGCATAGTAATGTATGGTAATTGTATGTACAGTATAGCATTAGCTGTATTATTTATCCATGTAGAATCTTTACTTAGTACTACTCTAAGGAGGATTATTTAAAGGGTTACGCCGAACATCGAAATCACTTTAGCTTGCTGCAATGCTT